AATGTGTGCTTACTCTTCACGTATTGACATTCACAGGAATGTTAGTACCCATTTTACCAATTTGTGGGAATTCAAATGGCGGCGTACGCCAAATAACRAAATAAGAGAGATAAAAAATACTTCCACATACTGGCCTAAACCCAATTTATTCAATCATAAAGATAAAGTAATTTTAAACAGACCACATATAGCCCATATAGGTCACACTAAAATATCCTATGGACATCTCTTGCGAAGAGTAGAACCAACACTATGCCAAATCTGTGGAGAATTGCTAACAATTAAAAACCTCATTGTGCACTGTCAAAACGATGAAACCACAAGTAGCCTTGGAATTCCAGACAGCCTCTACCAAGCTCTGTGCCCCATTGATGACATCAGCCATAGAATTACAGAGGTCGTCACTTAAAGTGATCACATTTGTTCAAGAGTACTTTGATCACTATAACCGGAAAATCACTATAAGCCGCAACTCGAAAAACAGGTARAAAATAATGTAAAAAAATGTATTTAAATATCAAAATTATATGTATGTAGTATTATTATTTTTTATTAATTATAATTTTTATATTTATATTTTTATTATATACATATAATACACTGAACGACGGACAAAAAAAAAACTGCGTATAAAGTGTAAAATATCAGTGCTTGGGAGAACAAAAACGGTTTCAAACATGTACAAATGTATGATATTATGAAGTATCGCTCATTATGTGGTTAGATTAAGATTAAGATAATTGCCATTCATAACCGTTTTCCCTGCACACAAAAAGAGGTGATATTATTGTAAATTATATTTATATTTTATATTTCTGATCACAATAACCGAAAATCTGAACACTGTAAGCGACAAAAAATGCACTTATAACGGCTGTTTGTTCCGTTCATGGCATTTTTTATCACTATAAACGGCTGATTCTTATAACCAATGAACACTATAAGCGGCAACTAMTGTATATCATTTCTCAAACATATTGATATGTATATTATATTGATATATATGTAAATATTTTATTTATAAGAAAAACACCCACAAGTACTCAATTGATAAGTGTCAAAATGGTAGATATATGTATCAGTATATCACTATAATTCAGGGTAATAAAATAGAATTATTAAGTGGGAATTTCACTGATAAATAAATATTGGATTAATTTACAAYTCAGATGGATTGTTTGGATAAAACAAAATTATAAAGAAAACAAGAATTTAATTGTTTTATTAAGCTTAATAAATTCAAATATTTTATTTTAAAAAGAACATTAAAATAAGAAAACTGTCAAACGTCAAGATAAGCCAATTATAAAAATATATTATAATTTATAGCTTTACACTACTATTGAATCACTTAAAAACAATGTCTTATTGGATATTAATTTAATTAATTCAATTATTTTTATTCCAATTTCATCTACTGCACCATAATTCATAATGAATAGCATTAAGAAAATAAAAAAAGAAATGGAGCTATTAGTGAAAAATAAAATGTGTTGAAATAATTTAGATAAAATATGTAAAATTATGCTCAAAATATGCACTTCAACATTTCATACACAATTTGGTAGAACCATGAAATAATAATTATGTATGCTAATTGTATAAATATTTAATAGCAGTTATGATAATAAATAAATTATAATCCACACATTAATAGAAAAAAATTTTAATGTACACAACTTAAAAAAAAAAAAAACAAGTATTGGTAAATAATATTATAACTAGGTAATTAATCAATCACAGAATACATATGACACGGTAATTATTGAAGTTGAAAATAAAAATTTAAATTTAGGTCTTTATTTGTTTTATGATAAAATTAATTAAGAAGAGGAGGAAAATGGAAGGGGATTGTTGGTTAAGAGGATTTGATACCTGTATGTCTTGTCTCTGTCTTACATAAGTATTTTAAAATTATAAATTTTTTGTACATATTAAAATACTTCAACATTAAAATATAGTAAAAAGCCTATGAGATTGTCTAAATAATATTCTTACTATTAAATTTTATAAGAGGTCAATAACTCTAACTTTTTAACTAACAGAGCAAAGYGTGATCTGCTGAGCGTAYAACAGGGGCGACTCCAGACTTTGGCTATGGAGGGGGGAGGGAAATAGTAAAAATATTATTAATTTACACGGGATTCAGATCTGAGAACCTTTTTTTTTTTTATCCTTTGGAATTTAGTTCTAGTCTCTTCTACAATATATTTGTGTCACTGAAATGTTACAACAYATAATTATTATCACTTATCTCTCAAGGAGTTTGTTAACCACGGTTGTAGCAGCTACAGCATATTCTGCGATTCGCACATCATAACAAGATAACACGATAATTGATAATAAGATGAACAAAAAAAATAAAAAATATTCCATTTAAATTTAATATAAATTATAAAATTAACCAATAGGCAATAATTACTATTTTAAGTTTATACTCTATCCACCTCACAGGGGGTGATCGCCCACTTCGCCTCTTCCACAATGGACGCCTCTGGCGTACAATTTGGTATGTTACGCACTTGTAAGACAGAGACAACATATGCGAGTTTCACCTCCTCTTAAGATGAAATGCAACCATTGATTGAGGATTAAGGGGGATTGTGATTGTAAACAACTCAAAATGAGTAACTAATTTTTACTAATCTTACATAATTTGTATTGAAAATTAAGGGAATTTTTATTAATAAACCAATACTTCCTGYTTCCCAAATTTTATGCTATATAACAGGGGTGGCCACTAACCTTAATTTTAAGATCCCCAAATTTGAAGTGAGCTACTATTTTGTGAAATGTTTATAAAATGAAGACATTTTTCAACAAACGAAAACATTTATTTCTTACAATACACAAAACATTTTGTTCGGTGCATATTAAGGAATGAGATTTTACTTTTGAAAATTGATTATCATATTATATTAATTAATTTTACTCTAAGCTTGGAGTCAAAAGCCAAACAAGACTGACTCAAGAGCCTCGTTGTGGCCACTTCTACTATATAATATATATTACCATATTGATATTTATTATTGTACCTAAAAATATTTTAAGACCAATATAAAATGGTTAACCATGTTATCATACACTACCTGTTGTTCATTAGAGTTAAGACGTTAGATGGGCAGTAAGGCATCAACATTAATACTTCATGAACTCCATTATTATGGCGTGTAATATTTGAATCAATAAAACCAACAATATTTTTATGTCCGTTTAAGCTACTCTGAAATTTGAAAAAAAATTATGAATACATTTGTATGTACATTTATCAGCTACAGATAAGCTATCAATAACCATCCAATAACTTAGTTTGTTAGCATTCATAAATACTTAAGTTATTTCATTAATCTAAGTATTGACATACGGCTATTTGTATCTCTTTWTTAGCTACACCTAAGTCCACTTCATCATTGACAAACAGGCGCTTAAGGGCATATTTTTTATTGTTGCTTTTTACAAGAAATACTACAGCAAAGCCTCCTGGAAAATGAGACAAGAGAGATTGTAAATATGATGATGACAACAATATCATAGCAGTAAGTACTATTGGTATATTGTTGGTAGGTATTAAGAGTTTACCTTCAGCAATCACATCTTCAACTGTTACAGAGGAACGGCCAACAGTGATCTGTTTACCAACAAAGCAGTTGGGATCTTTGTTAGAGTTGTCGATTTTTGAAAAGAGTTTTTTCATGTTGACTAACTGGATAGTSTTAGGCGACACAATTATCAAGCATTTGAAATACCTACTGCAGAATAATTTGGGACGAATCAATTTAAAAATAAATTACAATTTGTAAGCGCGGTATAATTTATACTTACCTAAACGTAGTGCGAATGTACCAGTAGATGAAGTAGTGGCATTGAAAAATGTATGTACTATGTGCGACTAGACGACAGTAATTATTTTAGTTGCGACACACGCGATTTTTCCGACCTCCGTCGATCATCGATCGGAAATATCAAATAAATATCAATAATATTGTGTTGTGCACTTGTGCGTATAATATAGAGTAACCGAGGGTTAAGTAAAGTGAATYTTTTCCTCAACAAATTGCATACAATCTTTTATTCCGATACACTCGGCCAGAAATATTATTATATTAATAATATCATAGCACGTCGAATACGAGTCTACTGCTGCTGCTGCTGCTGTTGGCGGTGGTCGTGGTGCGAGCGAATAATAAGATAAGGAGGCCAAGTGTTCAATACGCAAAACAGCTGACAATCAAGTGTGGACCAAAATATCTGGCGAGCAGAATATTGTCGTACTGGTCCCGCACTCCCRCCACTCCCGCGTCCGTGTGTCAAACCACTCAATCCACGATTCCACGTCCCACGAACGTGGATATGGGTCAYTAGGGGTGTGAATTTTTAWTCGATGCGATTTGCAAGTGTTTATGATATACGTAATATTAAATATTTTATAGATATTGGCACGGTTGGCGAGATTTATTAAATGTGATTCAATATAATATTATTATTTTCTATAAGATCCCCATGAAGAAATTCCGTATTTTTCTGTCGGCCRTTTTTWARAAAAGTCTAGTAGCCTACCAGTAGTAGGCCATTGTTGTAGATCCAAATGGATATTACAAAAATATCCGTTGTGGGAGTTTKGTCTATTTACTTGGGTCGATAAAAAATGAAACCTTTTCAGCGTCAGTTACTCGGTTATAACTTATAGTTATCATAAAATCAAATCAATGAAATCGGGGCGTTTAACTTCAATTGAATACGATAGAATAGCAGTTAGCACTGAAACATATTTTATACAGTTAAAAAGTGACAATAATTACAGATCGACGGATGCGGGTCCGACGACATAGAGTGAAAACGTTTTAGTATATTATTATATTTTTTAATAATATCGTTTTATCGTTTATCCTTCGTGCGCACGTTTGGGCACCACTAGCGCACACTGATAAAAAACCAACAAAACCGTTTGTCGTACGTATTCTGTTATAATAGCATATATTATTATTATTATTTATTGCAATATAGATAAGTGAGATATACTTGTGGGCGGGCGGTCGGAAATCSGTGTAAAATATAAATGTCAAACGATAAATAACGCGGCCAAAAAGCTGGCGACTACGTTTCGCGCGCTCCGAGCCTAAATTTTTCGRCTCAAATTGTTTTCCTACTGTTCYCGTCATACGCAACGCACACGCCCATCAAATAATTACGCCCGACGGAGTGTGGGTTCGCCGTCAAAGCTCTGCGCACCGGTAAGATTGCTCAATTCGGAGTATTGTGTGTGTCGCGTACGTTTCACGGTCACGTCAGCCGCCGCGTTGGCTCGTTCGTTGGGTCGCCCGACACGCATAATACCTACGATACTATTCATYATTTCACTATTTTATTATTAATCGTCAATAATTGCTATTCCTCATTTACTTATGCTGCTGCTGCAGCCACCGCCGCTGCTACTGCTACTACGAATTACAACATAATAATAATATACTACTATTATATTATGTACATATGATAAACGTAATATCTAATAATATTGTTTTATTTGTTCTCATCATCGGGTGGGCGCCGCAGAAACCATAATGTTTGGTTCGTTGTTGTCCGTTTTCCATTCATCAATTACAATACCAAATATGTTTATATGCCCCTTTAAATATATTGTGTGATAGTTTTTTGTTATTTTTTCAAACATTTTTACAGCCATTAATGAATAGCATCATTATCTATGTACCTGCCTTTTTTTTTTGCTAGCATTTTTGGGTATAATAACACTAGACAGGTTAGGATAAATATACTGCTAGATAATTAATATTTAAATTATAGACAAATTATTCATAAAATTGGTAATAAATGTAAGATGGGCATTACCTATATTTTAGTGAACATAATTTATAGATAAATCATAGTGTATTTTTTGACCCACTTCCTAAGCTGTTTCAGAATGGTATAGAATGTTTAACAAAAAATAATTTTAACTGATCTACCTTTATACAACAATAATTAAAGTTTTAAAATGTGCACAATTAAATATAATATATGGGTTAATAATTTTGTTTAAYTATAAACTAGCTTGCTCAACCTAACTTAAGTTTTTACTATAGGTACTCAAACTCTTATCACATTTAAGATTCATTAATGCTTGGTGTAACAACTTTGYTTAGCTTTAAGTGAATATTAAATTTATTCCTATAGTTGCGCGATAATTATGTTTAGTAAAAGATGAATAAAGTGCTGTGCTGCTAACTTTAAGTGTAAAGATTGATGTGTTTATTAATTATTATTATTCTAAATAAATCAAATTTTTGGTGCTAGTGACACAATTAAATACAATATTGAATAATTATTCTTTATAATTGAAAGTTTCAATACTCATGAATTTTTTACATAATAATTAAGTACATGAATACATGATRAATGTTTTATTAGATTTAATCAAATTATCTTAAATGTAATAAATTATCATTTATAATAGGCACCTACCTACTTCCATTGTTTATTAAAATAAYGTTAATTATAATGATTATTTATAGCAACAACTTAGCAGCTTTTAATTTAGACAAACGTTTATTTTAATTTACATAGTTTTTAATTTTTCCTTGATATAAAATACTAATGAGTTTTACTTTATCAATTTCTTTTCTTCAGTCAGTATTGCGGCGAGTTATTATAAAATTTATAAAATTTAGTTTACCACAGTGAGTTTATCAGTAGAATATGTTAAAAATCTTAATACACTTTTCTTCCATTAGTCTTTAAAACAAGTTTAGTAAAATATGACTTATAAGTTATGAATATGAAATATTAAAGTAAATAGCTTATAATATTTTTGTTATTATATACCTACCAATATTTTAAATATGAATAACAATAAAATAAGGAATATATAATTATTGACCATCTTTAATGTTTAGGTTAAATTAAACCTGGTGATATGGATCCGTGGGTGGTGACTCCTCAAGAATGGACACGTTTTTGCACACATTTTCAAGCATTGAAACCAGTAAATGGTGTCATTACGGGTGAACAAGCTAAGGGATTTCTTTTACAATCTAGACTACCTCCATTAGTACTTGGTGCAATATGGTAAAATTATAAAAATATTTTTACTTATGTGATTATTTATTGTTAATCTTATTGAGGTWATTAATTTATTAATATTGACTAATTTTTAGGGGTTTAGCTGATACTGATGCAGATGGTCGTATGAATATTATTGAATTTACTATTGCTTGCAAGTTAATTAGTCTTAAACTTAGAGGTTTAGAGCTTCCTAAAGTCATCCCTAGTAATTTATGGAACTCTGTACAGTCTCTAAGTAATTTAAAAAGTTCCTTTCTTATGCTTATCAAATTTAACTAATTTTAGAATTAACATTTTTAGATTCAGTTCCTAAAGCTTCATCTCCACTTCTTACAAGTCCTCCAACAATGACCCCTGGAATTGCGCCACCTATGACGTTGCCATTATCAAATGTGTCTCCATCAACAATTTTACCAGCGATATCACCTYCATTAATACCAGCAGCTCCTTCTCCCATTGGAACTATAAATCCTACAATAAGTCCAGTTGTAAATAGTTCTTCTCCGGTTCAAACTGCTAATTTAACAAATGATGTGGCGTTAGTTGGTCAAACTGAACCTGTTAAATCTGCACTACCTGCTGCACCATCACGTAAGTTGATAAAATAATTCTGTTTTTCATTACTTATGTTAATTTTAATTATTTTGTTTATTTAGTTCCTGGTACACCAGTTGCTTCAATGCCAATGCCTATATCAATAGATTCTCCGTAAGTTTAAAAATATAATTATTTAATAGATTTACAACTTTAAGCTTGATTGKTACGATTTAATAAACTAAACTTTGTTAATATATCATACTAAGATTTCATTATAATTCACAATATTTTAATAATTCTTTTAAGAGGACATCACACCCGTGTGTGCCATCTCTGTCTTACACACGTTCAAGTACAACATAATAAGTTTTCGTTCATCAGTTTTTATAGTATGCTGTAAGTTTTGATATTAGAGTGAATTTACCTATWATATAATTTATAAGTAAGATTATTATCAGGGCTTCATGTAGGCTTTGTTTAATATTAAATTGTTATCTACACAAATATCTAYTATCACAAAAACCGCCGTGGATCAGGGATAATAATATGTGCATGATAGTAACAATAAATGCTGCGCAGTGAATATCTTAAATTACGACCACAAACTAGTTACTTAATGGTAAATTATTTATAAAATTTACTATGCATTAAAATCATTATTTATTCAATTAAACAGTCCACTATTTATTTAGTTCAACTTACCAACTTAAAGTGAAACAGCTTTTATTGTCATTATTTTTTGGTAAATTATGACTTTTTAAAAATTTTCATTTTGAAATTATCATAACTTAATTAAAAATAATATCAATAAAAGCTTTAACAGGGCCTTAGACAACAATCTTACCTATATATTTTATAATGGGTAAATTCATTCTAGTATCAAAACTCACAGCACACTATTGAAACTGTAAGCAAAAATTCTTGTGTAGTATGTGTGTAAGTCAGAAATATCTTATGATTGAAATATTTAATAACAACATTTTGCTTCTTTTCTATGGTTATAAAGTTATTTTATTAAAATTTTTTTGTTTCAATTATTTTTATTATAGAGGCAATCAGGAATGGGCAGTACCACATCAAACTAAATTAAAGTACACACAAATTTTTAATACTACCGATCGCACAAGGACAGGATTTTTAACTGGAGTTCAAGCCCGTGGTATCATGGTGGCTACTCAACTACCACAAAACGTTCTTGCACAAATATGGTAAATTGATGAATTGGTATAAATTCTTAATCTTTTATATTAAATCAATATTTATTTGCTTCGACTTAAAGGAATCTCTCTGATATGGATAAAGATGGTCAATTATKCTGTGACGAGTTTGTCTTGGCAATGTAYTTGTGTGATTTGGCTAAATCTGGGGAAAAAATTCGCATTCCTTTACCCCCTGAACTTATACCACCATCTGTTCGACGCCAACGTCAGAATAGTTTGACTGCTCCAAGTGAAGGAACTCCTGAGTCTGATTCTTGTTTGGTAAATCAAACAACTTTTGAAGATAAACGCAAAGAGAATTTTGAAAAAGGACAAGCKGAGTTAGAAAGACGCCGTAAAGCTTTATTGGAAATCCAGAGAAAAGAGCAAGAAGAACGAGAGCGTAAGGAAAGGGAAGAGCAAGACAGAAGAGAAAAAATACGATTAGAACAAGAAAAAAGAAGACAAGATGAACTTGAAATACAAATGAGAAAACAAAAAGAACTAGAACAGGAAAGAGAAGAGCAAAGAAAAAGAGCTCAAGAACAAAGAGAAGCGGCTCGAAAGTAARTTTGTTTTGTAAACTTTTTCCTTTTTGCAATAATTTATTTAATATCTATTTTTTAAATGAAATAAAGAGAAATGGAGAGGCAGCGCCAATTAGAGTGGGAAAAACAAAGAAGTATGGAACTTCAACAACAACGGCAGAAGGAACAAGAAACAGTACTTAAATTAAAGGGCAAAAATCAAAGCTTGACCATTGATCTTCAACAAATGGTATGGTTTTAGTTGAAAATTTAAATTGTGTATATTAAACTGTGAATTTGGTGTTTTTTAGACTGATAAAGTGCGTGAGCTATCACAAAAAATTAGTGAGACTCGTGCAAGTGTAACCGGGGTAAAATCTACAATTGATAGTATGCGGACAACACGAGACACTCAAATGAATGAAATGTCACGTTTAAAATCTACTTTGAAAGAACAAAATCAACGTCTTATCACTGTGAGTCAAGAAAAAATACGTTTAGAAGCCAAGAACAAAATGAAGTCCAGTATTGAAACTGCAGAAATACAAGAACAAACACAATCAGCAATTTCAAATAAAAAATTAGCATTCAAAAGCTTACAAGATAAGATTGATGATCTTAATTCACAAGTATGATCATACCAAATAATTATTAATTTGCATTTTGTTTTTAAATTGGTTTTTTTTTTTAGATCGAACTCAAAAAACAAGATGTTGAAAATAATAACAGTTCTATTGATCAATTAAAAACACAATTGACCAAGCTTGTAGAAGATTGTGAAAAGGTCTATCCAAGTTATGAAGAAAACATTAAGAAAGTTATAGAAATGAAGAAAAATAAAGCAAAAGAAATGTCATCTTGGGGAGATGATGCATGGAATTCAGCACCYACTACTGACTGGGTTGAAGAAAAGTCTGCATCTAATTTAGGTACCAGTTAATAAATTATCATTGAAAATATAAAAATTGCCAATATTAATATTAATATAATATATGTGTATTTATTAAATCCATAGAATCAAGTGCCTATAAAAAATGTCGAGCTTTGTATGAATTTGAGGCTCGCAACACTGATGAATTATCTTTCCAACCTGGAGATATTATTATGGTTCCATTGGAACAAAACGCAGAACCTGGATGGCTAACAGGGGAATTGAAGAACAAAACAGGATGGTTTCCAGAATCCTATGTTGAAACAGTTGATGGTTCTGATGACATTCGTGACATTATTGCTAATCGCCAAGCTCCTTTAGAAGATAATTTTGCATCCACCCAAAAACCATTAGAGTAAATAGTATTTTTTTCTATTTTTTATTAATMCATTTTATAAGATTATTTTGTTACAGAGGAATTGACGAGTTACCAGAAAATGAGCTTGGACAAGGATTTGAAAATGATGAGTTTAGTAATTCATACCCTAAACTTATTTTAGGTCGTGGTAAACCAGTGAATATTAAAGCAAAAGTATTAAATGATTGGACTGGTAAAGACAGTACTTATTTGTCATTGGTTGCTGGTGATATAATTGATGTAACTGAAAATCAAGTATGTATTATTGAATAATTATATACCATAAAAATTAACTATAAACAATTAAAAGTGATTTTTATTCTGTTTGCATTTTAAACTTTTAGTAAATCCTCAATAATTTTATATCAAATAGATCTTTTCCATAATGTTTTACTATACTACTTGATGGGTCCAATAATTAACTCATGACCTAGGGTTTCTTTATTTTCTGTTGTTCAACATWCTATAGACATGTTCTCATATTTAAAACTTGGTCATAMATTTTTCCATTCCCATTATTATATATTTATTTTCCTTCAACTCCTACCTCAYRTGTGTTGTATGTGTGCTTAAACTTGAGGATGTTCTGTGCAACCTCCTGCATATCCTAATTAAAATCCTCCCTTCTGTGATTCAAGTTTCTTAATTTATCTTTGGCCCCCTGGGATATATTTCACCTGACCATTATATCCATCTATATTCTCAAATCCATCATGTTCATACTCTTTAATTTAAATTGCTACTAACTGAACATTTCCATTATTATTTTTGTTATTTTTATTTACTATACTTCCTATTTGATCGTTAATTCTATTATTTTATTTTTATTATCATTACTATTTTAAATATATAAATTGTTCATAGGACGATTGGTGGTATGGTAGAACTTCAGATAATCGTGTTGGCTGGTTCCAAAAATCTTCTGTGTCCATAATTGAAAATGCAGTCAAAGATATTCCAAGCGACAAACAAGGTTTATATATTTATATATATATATTTCACAGTTGTCAGTGTTTCAGTGCATCTTATATTTTGTATATAATCATAAAGATGAATATATTGAAAATGCTGACTTAGTCAGCTACATATTTTAGTAATAAATTAAAATTCTGTGTAAGTTATTCTGTTCATGTTAAAAAGAAACCTAACTTTTGGTTGTCAGAAAATCATTGTGTTTATCACCTAATGAACCAACATATCTGCCAACGGTATAGTTATATCATGCCTCTGAACACTAGTTGTTTTCTGAAATTCCTTATTAACATGATTAGAGTATAGTAAAATGGCTCAAAATATTTAACAATACTAAAATATATATTTTTAATTAATTATTTCTTTATATTTAGAATATTATATTGTTCTCTATCCATATGAGTCTGTGGAGCCAGGAGATTTAAACATGAATCAGGATGAAGTGGTTTTAGTAACAAAAAAAGATGGTGATTGGTGGACAGGAATAATAGGTGACAGATCTGGAATATTTCCTTCTAACTATGTGCAATATCTTGATCCTCAGGTAAATTTTACCTTTGATATGTATTTTTTTTTAAACTATGTGGGTACAGTTATACTACCGTCATAACTCAAACTTTAACCCTGTCATAAAAACGTTATGGTATATAATATTAAATTACTTGTGAAACTAAGTGTAATAAAAATAAATTTAAATATTGAACACCTCAATAAATAAATAATAAATATTGTTATTTTACACTTTTCTTGACTAAATAAAAATTAGTGGCAATTTCATTGTGGTTTTCACTTTTCATATAAATGTAGTTAATTTAAGACATATGTTAATCCTTATTAAATTTTGTTTTGTACATTTAAAATTTAATACAATATCAACTAATTAACTTTTTTGGTTTTTTTCTAAATAGTTTTAGTTAATAAGATGGAGGTTGCACTGTATTTATTTTTTAGAATTAATATTTCTATTTCAATTTTGTTTTTAATTAATACAATTTTTATATAGCCTAAGGAAACTACTGTGAATAAGAACCCTCCTTTTGAAACAGCTTCATCAGTAAAATCAGAAACATCTGTTACTTCTTCACCATTGACTACTCCTATTATGCTAGAATCTCAAAAACTTGGTGGTAGTAGATCAGTTACACCAGATTTAACGTCAACAAAGGTATGAATTCAACTAAGTATATATATAAAAAAAGTACCATGTCGCTTATATCACTGTTCCTTTAACACTTAAAATGTTGATATATATTTTCTTATTTTCTAGAGGATTTAAACTACTGRATAGTTTTCTTTTTGTTAGAATAATCTATTGATTATTATTACATATTTATAAAATACTAAATTTTAAATAATTCAGTGATAAAATTATTTTCATTAACATAATTTTCAAATTCTAAAGTTCTTATTATARTTACATAATAACCTACTAGAAATAATAATGTTTATATTACATACAATCATACATTTGTTACTATAATTTACTAATTTTTATTAAATTATTAATACTATTATTTGAATATTAAGAACCTCAGAACCATTTACAAATTAGGTACCTTCTTAKTTTTTAATTAACTCAATATTTGTTAACCGTACCAAAAACATTTTTTTAAGTTCAACCTTCTTGGCTTATCTAAAAAATGCTCAGGTATTAAGTATTTTTTCCTATCCCCACATATTTGTGAAAGTATATTAGTCAAATAAATTTAAAAAAATAGTAAATGTAAAAAATGTAAATGTTTTTTCATTTAATTTGAAATTATTTTATCAAGCATTAAGTCTAATAATTTTTCTTAATCTAAACAAATAACTTATATTTAATTGTTGTTTTATATAAATAATATTACAAAATAATTAAATACTCTTAAGTAGTAATGTTGTTATATATCAGTAATTTTACTATTTTGAGATTTGTTTTATTTTATCATAAAATAATTTAAAAGTAAATAAGTTTTTGTGGTATATTATATAATGTCATTATTTTTTTACTTTCTAATATGATATTGTACTAGAAATTTTGACYTAACTATAATTTTAACAAATTTATTTTTATTATATCCTTTCTGTTATCAAAATGCTATTATTCTACGCTTTTTGTGTATTGTTTTTATTATTGATTGTTTGTTTGTTATTGTCTATGGCTTGTGTTTTTGGTTATCAGAGGGAAAGCAGTGCAACAGAAGATAGCGAAAATGATGACAAGGTAAACTATGCTTTCTGTATGTTGTTTGCATGAAATAATTTTTGTCTAGTACCTATAATTGAATAACATTTTTAAATTGTTATTACTTTAATGTTGTATTCCTCAGATAACTAAAGGAACAAAAAAAGCAGAAGTGGCGACTGTCATTGCACCATACACAGCCACTAGCACAGAACAATTAAGTTTACAACGAGGACAATTGGTAAAAATTAGAAAGAAGACTACAACTGGTTGGTGGGAAGGAGAGTTACAAGTAAATAAAAACATCCTTTAACATTGTTTGGAAAATAATTTGTTAAAATATAATGTTAGGCAAAAGGACAAAAACGTCAAATTGGTTGGTTTCCAGCATCTTATGTAAAACCATTAGGTAACACTGGTAGAGCAAATTCACCCGCTACAAAAAGTAATCAATCTGCAATAATGCCTGTTACTACTACAACACCTTCCTCCAACAATACCCTAGGTAATATAATCATATTCTCATCTTTTTTGTTGAATAATTAAATAATATTAATATTATTTACAGAAAAAGTCATAGCTTTGTTTCCATTTAATGCGGTTCACAATGATGAATTAACATTCCAAAAGGATGAGATTATAACATTGGTATCAAAAGATGAGCAAGCTTGGTGGAGAGGAGAACTAAATGGAAAGACAGGATTGTTTCCAAGTAATTACGTGGCACCTCTATGTAAGTAAAAGAAATYAAGTTTTATAGTATTAGATAATATTTTAACTAATTATTTTTAATTAAATAACTTTTGCATGTTTCAATTTAATTAAAAGGAATGTGTTGAAGACATTTTGATGTCAAAAATTACAATACAACAATTGTAATTAAATATTTTTTATAATTTTATCAAACATATTTAAGATTATAAAAAATATGTTTATTATAAAAATTATTTTATGGGAWTACATGCAACTATTATAATATAAAATTAAAATTAATTTATTGTTAATGAAATCATATTTTAGTGGGTTCAAAAAATTTTAATGAACTCTTCTAAATAGTTTAAATAGTTTTATAAGTTATGAATAGATAATAAGATAAAACTTATACTAACATCTTCTATATTCTGTCTCTTTTGTTTTTGTTTTGTTTTTTTTTTTGTAGGAGTTTGTTATAGTCATTTGTTCACTGGCTAACGACCCATCAGGCGGATGAACTTCAGAATATTAGTATGGTTTTTTTTTTTTTATTAAATTATTTATTATTTTTCAAAGCCTGATTAGTAAGTAAGTTTAATATTTATGGCATTAAATTATAAAAGCTAAGAAAACAACTTTTATAGTCATAAACAAGACTTGTATTGTTTTTTTTATTTATCAATCACCCATATTATAGTCATTGCAATTGATGGGTCAGCCATTTATTAAAA